ATTTTGTGAGACCCATTATATATATATATATATATATATATATATATATATATATAGTGTGTGTGTGTATATTTTTTTTCAGGATTTTTTGATGAATAAGTTGAAAAGAACATTATTTATTATCTTTACTGTCACTTTTAAACAATTGAATGCATCATTGCTGAACATAAGTATTTATTTCTTTAAAAAAAAAAACTTTCTGACTCCAAACTTTTGAACAGTAGTGTATATGTTAAGTAGTGAAAGTGGTGCATGCATTCATGACCACCACTAACAAGGCCTACTACATTGTTTCCTTAAGCCAATATGACAACAGGCACTAAAAGGAAGTGGTCATGATCAAAAACAGATATGATCTAAAGCAGATGACCTACATTGGCAACAAGAGCATCTTGAATGGGCGTGTTTGCTGGGTCAGAGGTGCTGTTCTGACCCGGTGTTCCCTCCTCCACCTGGCTGCCTGTGCCTGTAGCTGGTCTCTCCTCGTGGTTCTGCAGACCTGGGTTCTGGAGGTCCGCATGGGCAGAGTGGTTCAGGATGGATGCCACACACAGCTCCACTTGCAAGTGCAAGAAATTATTCCAGGTGTATTTAAAGAATAAATCCTGCAACCAGAAAGTGGTAGAGAGTAAGAGAGAGGAAAGAAAGAAAATAATGAAAAATGAGATCGCCCACCAACAGCCAGCTCATAGTGTTGAGTCTGCGATATTTGATGTGTGCGTGCAAGTGATGTACCAACAGCAGGTCCATGGTGTTGAGTCTGCAGATCTCTTGGCAGATGCTGAGGTCGCAAGTCTGCAAAAGAGAAGCCACCAGTCTGGCCACATGAAGGCGGGCGCTCCCCAGGGGCTGCTCCAGAACGCCCACTGTAGTCAGTATTGCACTTCTCTGTTCCACAGCAAGTGGAGGGAGATTGGCACATTGTTAGAGGGCTGTCACTCTCAGCATTGCACAGTGATTGTTGAGACAGAAGCTCTGTTCCAGAACTTACTGTGCTGCCAACAAAGACTGACACACTTTATGGCATCATTAAAATGATGCACCTGAAGGCTGTTCCACAAAGTTCAGCAGCAACATTATGTTACCTTCAAAGACTTGATAAAGTCGCAATGAAACCGAAGTAGCAATTGATTGTTTCTTTGGTATTGTTCATCCGAGTGCAACAGATTATTCAACAAGAAAAAAAAAGTAGGACAGGAACTTGGTTCTACCCATCGGTTGTTGATTGGATTTTGAGATGTGGGCATTGCACTCAAAAATTTATGTCAGCTTGCATTCGACAGTGAAGAGGCGTGGTTTAGCCAGAGAAGTCTGCCATTTCACAGGAAGCTTGACTTAAAACATTTTGATTTAAATTTTCAAAATATTATGAAAAAATGACATGCATGGATGAATCTTTCAAATTAAGATCAAAAACATGCATTTACAAATAGGGTGAATTCTTTTCATACCGACTTTCCTGAAAAATTTTAATTCCTTCAAATATTTGGATGTGCCATGTATTTTGAGACCTAATGAAGTATGTTGTTAGCTTAGAAACACATGAACTCATCTGAGTTTCTAAATTAGCTTCTTGTGAAGAGTGCTATTTAAGTGACACAGGGTTGTCACCTATGTAGAGCGTTCCAAATCAGTCACTTATGAGGTTTTACTTCAGTTCTGCACGCAGCAAGGCAGCTTAAGTTTGGAAACAGAGCAACAAACTTTAGCTTAACACACAAACAAAATGAGAACAAATGGTTCAAAAGCCAAGAGATGACTTTTATGCCCAGATGGAGTTTAGTTGCGTGTGTGTGTTGGTACCGTAGGAGGGTTCAGTAGGAGCTGCTGGAAGTCCTTTATATGAGGCTCAATAGCACGTAAAATACTGCTGTTGACAGTGTAAGACCTTTCACATCCCTGAGAATACAGGTCCATCAGACCCTCCAGCCTAACAACATCAGACACAGAGGTAACAGAAGGTCAATGAAAGATTAAAAAAAGGAGGAAGAACAGCAAGCATCCAAGCATGACTTTATTTTAGGATTAATTAGGACCTTTAATGGATGAACTCACCCTGACCTTCGTGACTCCAGTAACGTAAGAAGCACTTGCGTTCCATTGACGACAGATGCTTCAGTCCTTTCCCCTTCAAACATGTTCTTCAAAAGCTCCGCCACATTCTCTTGTCTACAAATACACAAACATAAACGGATGAGATACATAAACAGGCCATTTCACAGGAAGCTTGACTTAAAACATTTTGATTTAAATTTTCAAAAAATTATGAAAAAATTACATGCATGGATGAATCTTTCAAATTAAGATCAAAAACATGCATTTACAAATAGGGTGAATTCTTTTCATACCGACTTTCCTGAAAAATTGTAATTCCTTCAAATATTTGGATGTGCCATGTATTTTGAGACCTAATGAAGTATGTTGTTAGCTTAGAAACACATGAACTCATCTGAGTTTCTAAATTAGCTTCTTGTGAAGAGTGCTATTTAAGTGACACAGGGTTGTCACCTATGTAGAGCGTTCCAAATCAGTCACTTATGAGGTTTTACTTCAGTTCTGCACGCAGCAAGGCAGCTTAAGTTTGGAAACAGAGCAACAAACTTTAGCTTAACACACAAACAAAATGAGAACAAATGGTTCAAAAGCCAAGAGATGACTTTTATGCCCAGATGGAGTTTAGTTGCGTGTGTGTGTTGGTACCGTAGGAGGGTTCAGTAGGAGCTGCTGGAAGTCCTTTATATGAGGCTCAATAGCACGTAAAATACTGCTGTTGACAGTGTAAGACCTTTCACATCCCTGAGAATACAGGTCCATCAGACCCTCCAGCCTAACAACATCAGACACAGAGGTAACAGAAGGTCAATGAAAGATTAAAAAAAGGAGGAAGAACAGCAAGCATCCAAGCATGACTTTATTTTAGGATTAATTAGGACCTTTAATGGATGAACTCACCCTGACCTTCGTGACTCCAGTAACGTAAGAAGCACTTGCGTTCCATTGACGACAGATGCTTCAGTCCTTTCCCCTTCAAACATGTTCTTCAAAAGCTCTGCCACATTCTCTTGTCTACAAAGACATAAACATAAGTGGATGAAAAACAAAAACAGCCCTTTTATACAAAAACAGCAGTCTTTACTGAGTGTGTAAATTCTTACACATGGCTCATTACATTACATAACTGTGATCTTAGATAATCAAATGAGGCACGTACGACTCCAATACAGCAAGTAAGGGGTCTGGTTCAGTGACCTCTGACAGCTGATTGGCCTGGTCTCGACTAAGTCGAATGATGTCACAAAGAGTCTGGGATGCATTAGATTGTCTCTGCAGAACAACAAAGTGGAAAAGAATGTACTTAGTTCTTTTTTTAAACTTCAATAACTGAAATCATTTGGGCTGGAGGTGAAAAGTTTAGCAGAGTGAGTGATATTTTGTACCTCTTCATCTCTCCCTGTGTGCATGAGCTCTGTGAGTCTCTGGATGAGTCTCTCTTCATTCAGCCACTGCAAATACATTCATTCACAGATCAGAATCACAGCCCTGTAATGAGTGGTGGGGATTCAGCCAGGGCTTGGCGGACAACAGTCAGGCTAAATGCAGGTCAATGTCTCATTTAAGGACTCTATTTTTTAGTTCGCTTCATTGGCTTCTGATCCATTTTAGAATTCAGTTTAAAATTTTGATTTTTGTTTTTAAAGCTCTTAATGACCAAGCCCCATCCTATCTTAAAGACCTTCCTACTCCTCTATTATCAACCAGATTTTTAAGATCTTCTGACAGGGCTCTTTTATCTGTCCCTCGTTCCAGTTTAAAAACTAAGGGAGCTTTTTCTGTTGCCCACCTGTCTGTGGAACCAACTGTCACTAGACATCCACCTTGCACCTTTTATTACCATTTCTAAATTGAAGTTTTATTCTTTAACTTTGTTCAGCACATTGGATTTCTTTGCTATATTTAAATGTGCTATATAAATAAAATGTAAGCTGCTGAATCACTTATTAACGTTCCTTAAAGGTGTAATTTCTACAAAAGATTCAGGTTCCTAGAGGCAGATCAAGGTAAAATGCTTTTGAACAAGATTAACCATCATATAACCTGCAAATCCACTTGTAGAGTCAACAACACATGGGACCACTCACACAGAACATGTTATTGCAGTCAGATATAGTTGGACACAAGAAAAGGAATAAAATGCTCCCTTAAGTAGAAATCTGTTCATTCTCATTTATATATATAAATATTAGTGTGCTTACATTGAGGACCTCCATCCTCAAGAGGGCAGGCTCTACACAGCTGATGAGGCGCAGCAAAAGATCCATCATGGCCGAGGCATCAATGTGATTCAGCACCAGACTGATAAAGTTGTGTTTTTTCCTTAGGAAAGAGATTACCTGCATGTGCAATGACAGACAACTTACTAACTATACAAATCAAACAAATAACCCCCATATTTCCTTTTTGCCATTTGGTGTGTGCGTTCATATTCTGAGCTGTGTGGATCAGATTGTGCATACCTGGTCTGTTTTACGTGCAATCAAGTTGCCGATGGTTTTGCTGAAGAAAGACGCCAGCAGGGGATTAAGGGGTGGCTCCTGCTCCAGAAAGTGGTAGAGCTTCTCCAAAAGGGATTCATCTCCACCCAGCTTATCATTGATAAGAGCCACATCAGAGGTCAGGAGCTCACAGGCAATGTTTGGAAACCTGGATAAACAGAACCAAACAAAAAGTCAATAATAGTTACACGTTACATGTGACAACACTATCAAACAGTAAATGCAACAGGCCAAAACAGTCTGTGGTGACTTGGACTTTAGCATTACAAACAAAGCCACTTTCTGAGTTTCCAACGAAGACATTTCAAAAGTAACAAAAGTTGCTCTGTAGCACTACTTATATTCTGTCACTCAGATAGCATTAAAGTAAATACTGGTCAACTGAGTGGTGCAGTGTTGTCTGTGCCACAAGAGAGGGTAATAAGCTCTGCTTCAGTGCCTTGTATTCTATTGTATGATTCTGCATTTGACAAAAATATCACCAAACAAAAAATCTGGATCAGTGCAGCTGAGAACATATTTCACTCAATGTAATAGCATTTCACAATACTTGGAGAGAAAAGATATTTTGAGTGAATCCGCTTGCTCATTTCAAGACAAATGATTCTGCTTCCTACACACAAGAACCAAATGATTCGTTTTAAATGAACTGTAATCTCTTTCTCTCTCTCTAACCAACAGAGAGCACTAAAACTTCAAGCCTTCAGAACATGAGTTTTTCATATATTTTGTTGAACACAACCCTCACAAACACAGCAACTCTGATTTAAAACATAAAAGTTGCAGAATGCAGGAGTTGTTACACATCACCTTTTAACTCAATCATTTTCTCTGTTCCCCTTCCTTCATTTGCCATTTTAAAATGCACACCTCTCCATTTCTACATCTTCACTGTCACTGTTTTATTGTCCTCCCGTAACCAAGAGCTCAAAGCATGCAGGGCTACCAATGAACACCACATATGCCCTACCGTCATAATTCTGCAATTCTCAGTACCAGTCGGAATACTTTTTACTGCCAGCTATATTTACATGTAGGTAATTGGTTATTTACAGTGAATAAACACTTAAAGTGCTGTTTTCTGCAAAGTTGCAGTGTCTGGTTGGTCAAAACTAGCAAAAATAAGGCACAAAGCCGTGTCTCTGTCTTACTTGAAGCGAGTTTTCTCTTCCAGGTCAGCAGGGGGCTCCTCTGTAATAAGGGTGACCAGCTCCTGCATACAGTGATCCTTGGAGAGGAAGAGCAGGAGTTTGCGGTTCTGTGCTTTGCACTCCTGCAGGACATCCTCCTCTTCCATCAACTCTCTCAGAGTCACTCCCTCTCGATCCAGCAGCTGGTCAATATGGGAGGTGTTGTTCAGGTCAAACTTCCAGAACATGATGGCGGCGGTGGCTGCTGCAGCAGGAAGCCCAGGCCTAAAGAGAAGACATGAAAGTGAGGATAACATGAATACAAACAATTAAAAAGGCACTGATATTTCTTTTGAAATGAAATATCTATTGCAGAGAAGGCAATCCCAGAATGAGACTATGAATGAAAACAATGAACACAATGAAAAAAAAAATTCCAGGGTGCGTTGAACGAAATGCAGGCAAGCAGACTTGCCTAACCTTTTTGACTCAAATGTATTGTTGTCCAACACAAAGTTCAAAGATAATCTGATATTGTGGTTAGAGAGTTGGACTTGTAACCCAAAGGTTGCGGGTTCGAGTCTTGGTACAGGCAGGAATTGTTGGTGGGGGGAGTGAATAACCAGCGCTCTCTCCACCCTCAATACCACGACTGAGGTGAGACCCTTGAGCAAGGCACCGAACCCCCAACTTCTCCCTGGGCGCCGCAGCACACGGCCCACTGCTCCAGGTGTGTGTGTGTGTGTTCACTACTCACTGCTGTGTGTGTGCACTTGGATGGGTTAAATGCAGAGCACAAATTCCGAGTATGGGACACCATACTTGGCTACACGTCACTTTCACTTTTTCCACTTTCCAGCTTTTCTGCGTAATTATGACAAAGCTGCCTGTGTTTAAATATTTTTTATTAACATAAACTAGAAGGACTTAAATATTTCTTTTTTAATTCATTTTGTTTTCAGACATTTTTAAGAATGTTGTTCAGTTAAAAAAAAAAAATTCATTTATAATTAGATGATTTTAAAATATTAAAAACAATTTAAGTCATCTTTTATTCATTTTTAGTCATCTTGAACCCTCAATACCACGACTGAGGTGAGACCCTTGAGCAAGGCACCGAACCCCCAACTTCTCCCTGGGCGCCGCAGCACACGGCCCACTGCTCCAGGTGTGTGTGTGTGTGTTCACTACTCACTGCTGTGTGTGTGCACTTGGATGGGTTAAATGCAGAGCACAAATTCCGAGTATGGGACACCATACTTGGCTACACGTCACTTTCACTTTTTCCACTTTCCAGCTTTTCTGCGTAATTATGACAAAGCTGCCTGTGTTTAAATATTTTTTATTAACATAAACTAGAAGGACTTAAATATTTCTTTTTTAATTCATTTTGTTTTCAGACATTTTTAAGAATGTTGTTCAGTTAAAAAAAAAAAATTCATTTATAATTAGATGATTTTAAAATATTAAAAACAATTTAAGTCATCTTTTATTCATTTTTAGTCATCTTGAATGCCACTTGGAAGTTTGCTGAAGTTACTTAATGGGCTCCGGCCCCCTGGTTGAGAACCACTGATCCAGAGTGTTCCTAATCATTCACTTATGAAGTTCCATAATGGTTAGGGAGCTGTCTTAAAAGCAGCTGTCTATGTAGGCAACCTAATAGGTTTTGGAACAAAGCTATAGAGTGAGTGGGAGGGGGGGGGGGGGGGGAGAATAGCGATGGAAAGCAGAACTAACAGATGAAAGAAAATATGGAGAACATAAAAACAAGGAAGGGGATAAAATAATTGACGGACCTTTAAAGCATCCAACTAACACATCCCACTCAAAACCAAACATTAAAGTCTGTTTAAAGTCAATTCTGAGAATTGTTTCTAAACACATTATAAACGTTAGAAATACATTGCGGAACCATGTTACAAAGACTGTGAACTATGTAGTACTTAATTGTGGAGTTAAACAGTTAAACAGGTTTTCAACATTTTCGTGTTCAGGATTTATTGGGCGGGGCTAAAATCATGACTCGATGACGAAACGGAGTCACTGAGCATGGTCCCTCCCCTAACACTGTGCTCGACTTGAAGCAGCACTGCGCAGATCGATCGGTGTGACATCAAAGTACAGAGCAATAGAGAGCAGACGGCTCCTCATGCTTTCTAATCGCTGTCGTGTCATACACTGATCGTTCTGCACAGCCCTGCTTCAAGTCGAACACACCTAATAACTACAGCGCAGTGGTTTGCCCGCTCAATCGCGAGTTACTGCCATTCGTTACTACAGCCTAGAGGTTGCTAGCTAGCTATGCCTTTGTCACGTAAATGCATAATACCTGGTTGCAATAATTTACAAAACAAGCTGCAGAGGAAGACATTTGAGAGAGATGGGAGCTTTTCCGCAAGTGGGCACGGTTTCAGCACCGCCAGCGGACACACCCCCAGCGATTGAGAGAAGAGAATACTGCTTATTTTTTCAAGATTTTGATAGCTTATTTTATTAACTTGGCGGGGGTTTTTTTGCATTTAAATTTGGCTGGGTGGTTAATAACACACTTTTCTGTGGTGTGATAAACTCAGAACACACATTTAATATTGACTTTACACGGACTTTAAGCAACTGGAACATGAAGAGCAACTTTCCTTCTTTCAGTACTAATTGAAATCACCTGGGCTGTGAAGATTTTCTAACCACTCTGGTCATGAACAAAGCAGAACTTTCCCACAACATGACTGGTACTCACGCATAACACCCTGGGCGATACATTTCACACAGCCTGATAGGCTCCGCTTGCTCAAAGAGATGAGATCTGTTAGTAAGCCTATGTAAAAGACTCTTCAGGAACTCAAGCTCTGGAACATTAATAGCATTTGTTAAATAAATATATTTTTACCAGCTGATGAAACGTGTGAATCCTTAGTTACACCTCGTCCACAGGCAGACAGGCATTTGAGTGGCAGAATGCAGACAGCACAGAATGACCTAGCATTAATCTGCATGAGGTCCACTTCCCACCAGTCCTTCCTCGAATACACGCCTCAGACGGACTGACACTGGGGGAAAAAAAGCAAACTGTTCAAAAACTAATGCAGGCACGGTGTGAAAAACTATTTGGGCTTATGTAATAATAAATAATATAAAGTTAGTATATCAGTAATGTATGGAACCACATTGCATCATATAGTCTAGGAACCTTGAAGCACAATATACTGTGCAAGACTAAAATCAGAACTATGGAAGGTCTTGTGAACTGAAAATGTAGTGTTTGTACAAACGTCATTTCCTTGTCAACAGTGAATAAACGCACATACACACTCTCTTCCTCAAATTTACCCCTATACTGACTCTAGCAGACATGCAACGTTATTTTAAGCAAATTTAAACAAATAAATGAGTCTTGAGATCAGACTTCAAGCATTAAAGAAATAGTTTACCCAAAAACGAAAATATGCTGAAAATGTACTCACTTTCAGGCCATCCAAGATGTAGATGAGTTTGTTTTTTCATCAGAACAGATTTGGAGAAATTTTGCATTACATCACTAGTGGTGCTCACTAGTGGATCCCCTGCAGTGAATGGGTGCCGTCAGAATGAGAGTCCAAACAGCTGATAAAAACATCACAATAATCCACAAGCAATCCAAATGACTCCAGTCCATCAAATAACATCTGCATGTTTGTAATAAACAAATCTTCCATCTTTAAGACATTTTTAATTTCCAACCGTTTCTTCCGTCTGCAATACACAATTTTGCTTTCTCCAAAAGCAAAAAGTCAAAACTTATCTTTTCTGAATCAGCAGAGAAATATGCACAGATAAGCACTACTTACAAGCGAAAACAGTCCAAAACAGTTTTAAACAAATATGTTGGTGGATTTCAAAAGGACAACAGGGGATGGAATTTTTCACTGGAAGAATTTATGGATTAAGGCGTTATTATGGATTAAGGACTCTTGAGTATTTTGGCAAGAAGTGACAGTTTCAAGTTAAAACACCTTAATGGTGGATTTGTTTCTTACTTTTGACTTCACAAGACGTTAATTGATCAACTGGACATCTGTGGATTGCTGTGTTATTTTTATAATTTGTTTGGACTCTCATTCTAACGGCACCCATCCACTGCAAAGGATACATTGGTGAACAAGTGATCTCAAAACCTGTTCCAATGAAGAAACAAATTGTTCTACATTTTGGATGGCCTGAGGGTGAGTACATTTTCAGCATTTTGGGTGAACATTTCCTTTAAGTCACATTTACCATTGTGGGGTGAATTTCTTCGAAATACAGTCATTTCAATAGGAATGCATGTGATCTGGAATTTTGCAGGATGAAAAAAAAAGAGGTTCCAAGATTTACCACGTGACCAACACAAACCTATTTGGCAAAAAAGCTTCATACATCACTACATTACGGACTGTAGACAACTGACTTTGAAAAAATGTTGCTGAAATTTCATAAAAATGTTGACCTTTAGACCAAATTATAGGAAGTTAAAATAAAAGGTGTCACTTGCAATTTCTTCCTAAATGAAATGCACACCTAATCCACATCTCATGTGCATATGGCACTCTCAAAACAGCAGCTGGTAACAGCTTCCTTGAGCACTACATACTCATCTGATGACAAACGGTATAGAGAAGACATACCGGAAAAAATATCTAGCATTGAACTGCAGATGTGAAGCTGAAGCACTTCATTTTTGAAAAAAAGTTAAAAAAAGTGGCCAAAAAAGAGAAAAAAAGAAAAGGGGACTTGTTTCCTTCTTTTATGTGGACATGACTGTGTAAGTGCAGAGCTCAGTGCGACAATAACAAGTGGAGAACTCCCCAATGAACTCAACATAGGAAAGCAAATGTCTCTGCTCTACAATTCATCAAAAATAGTAGCAGGCAGCAGCATCTGCACACACTACAAGCTGTCACACACAGCAGACACGAGCGGAGATGTTGCATGAGATCTCTGACAGCAGCTGAGGTCAAATAAGCTGGCACTGATTGCTCAACTGTCCAGAAGCTGCCTCCTTCGGAAGTTCCAGCAACTTGTCCTGACCCCTGAACCCCAGAGGGGGTGTTCATGCATTACAAAACTTCAAATGAGATTGCATTCGTCATACTGAACGATCGTGTTTTACAACTCAATAGTTAAATAGCTGGAGAGGATGAACTGACTTCGGAATTACTCATGTGGCTGCTTATGACAACCTGATTTGAATCAAATGTTTACAACAGACGTCAATGACAAACCAGAGCATTTTCACACCTTATGAAGCCGGGACGGGAAAAGACGTACTACTATCAAATTCACACATGGGACGATGATTTTAAGCGCAGAATAACGGGTTCAACAGAAAATCTCTGAGGTTGCATGTTTACAACTGGGCCCCGCTAGCAACCGTTAGCATCAGCGGCTAATATTAGCGACAAAACTGGTTTCCGTATTTACAAAACAACCCCAAACTCGACCGAAGCAACTCAAATAAACACTCGTTTAGAGCTCAAAATGGGTTACTAGAGATGCAAAGTGCGTTTGACTTCATTTAACGCTAAAGAATGGGATGTTTTCGGTTTGTTTGTTTACTAGCTCGTCTGGCTAACTTCAGCTGAATCTCTCTTACAGAAGTTTCTTCCCATCTGAAGAGAATTAAAACGACACATTTTCTAAGCAAAACACTCATAAACAAGCGCGGTTTTGAGTAAAGCAGAGAGGGTCGGCACCGACAGTGCCATCTGCGCATGTAAACGGGATTTGCATGTAAGCTTACCCCCGCGGTGAGTGTCTTCAGACGGGCTGCTGGTTGTCGGTTAGTGCTGGTCTGGCTCGTGCAGCGGTGGCGCTGCTGCTGCTGCCCCGCGCGGCGCGCGCTCTGTGAAACCCCACAGCTGCCACGAGAGCGTTTTCCTCGCAACTATCTGCCCAAAGCGAGAGCCATCGTCCTGCCCAAAGTCGTTTTTCCGCTCTCTTTTATTTATAAATTATTTTTTAGAAAATTACTCTGCTCTTAGTCACTACGTAGAGTTATCTCGGCCGCTCACGCGCAAAAAGAGGGAAGGGGGGGGTAGGAAAATAAAAACGCGTTCATGTGTTTGTATTCAAAATGGCGAAATTCTGTCACAGGCGCGCTCGCGCTGTCAGATTACTTGCCTGCACATCGAGTGCGCGCTTCCCCGCGTTCATTCCACTAGCCTTGACAAGACGAGCATCGATTAAAATAAGAAGAAGAATGAAAACTGGAGATTGTTGTCATACCCAGAGGCGGACAAAGTACTCAACTCCATTTCTTGAGTGAAAGTACAGATACTGCTGGTCAAATATTACTCCATTACAAGTAAAAGTTGTAAAGACAGATTTTTACTTAAGTAAAAGTACAGAAGCACTTGCTTTTAAAAGTACTT